CGCTGTCCCATTAGTGTCTTGCGCTTCACCAAGATAACGTATGTATGCTGTCTTGAGTACCATATACTTCATCAAGACAGCACGCCGTAAGTGTTGTCCTGAGTGCCATTAGCATCATGCTGTCACAAGTTTTGCTGTATATACTATATAGGCTGTTGTGAGTACCATATATGTAATCAAGGTAGCCGTAAATGCTCTCTTGATTGCCATGAACATCATCTCGTGACATCATCTCGTGACATCATCTCGTCACAAGATAACCGTAAATACGCTGTCTTGGGTACCATATGGCATACACCACATGAAGATAACCCTAAGTGCTGTCTTGAGTGTCATTAACGCCCTGTTGCCTTCAGCGTCATCTGACAACCGTAAACACTGACTTGAGGGCCACATACGTTACGCCGATAGCCATAGATGTTGTCCTGTGTGGCAGTGTGTGTCATAAAGTTCACGAAGGTCGCTGTCGAAAATGCTTTGCCGAATCTCGTACGCTTCGTGAAGCGTAAACCGTTAAAGCACTCTTACCTCCGCCACTGTTAGGAAACTAGGGAAAACTGGCAGTTCAGTTGCTGTCTACATTCAAAGCTGTATTTTGGGGCGACTTTCTGTCTAGATTCACTTCCTGACTTTATATAGTTGACGTCGGGGCACCGTTAGACTATTGAGGCTTCAGAGGAAGGCCTGGACACGAAGTGTATGACACTCGTTTTCTTTTTTTCTTTCCTCTTTTTTTTTTAACCACGAGTAGTTCCGAAAGTCGTGCCCGTGAACAAGCCACGGTTTTAGGAAACGTACGGGCCACTACAGGAGGGCCCAAATTCATCCGGACGTTTCTACTCGTACTTTTTTTTTCCAACGGCCTATAGATGGGCCAAGTACTGGTGGTTTAAAAAAGGGCGACGGCCTTGAGATATCGTCATTGAGCTGACCGGCCACCTGTAATTCATAAATATTGTTTCATTCATTTCATTCCACCATAATGTGGATTTGAACTCGGGTGTGTATTTCAAAAGTTCTTGGGTGTACCAACTGCCCTACCCTCGTCGGCAAAATGTGTAAAACGAGAACGAAACAAGACAGCATTCAAGACAACATTCATCGTTATCGGGCCTTGCTCCACTACTTTCCGAATGTGTAAAATGAGAATGAATCCTCTGCCAGAACAGGGAAAGTTGCACCGCCAGATTTTTTTGTCTTCTGTGCATGTGGAGAGTAGTGTAGCGAGGCCTATTTTCATAAAAAAAGCGTGTGACGTGCAAAACGGCAGTTACGGGTTTCCTTCAAGCAATCTACGAGACCTGAGACCTATGTTACCCCCTGGCCACAGCCGAGTTCGGCCGTGGCCGCGGCCGTCGGCCGTGGCCAGGCCCCCCCCGGCCGCGGCTGAACGCGGCCGATAATTTTGGCCGAGGCCGCGGCCGAACGCGGCCGATAATTTCGGCCAAGGCCGCGACCGATCGGGGAGGGGGTTTGGGGGGCGGGGAGGGGGTTTGGGGGGCGGGGAACGGGTTTCGAGTCGCGGGGGGTCCCCCTACCTCCTCGCAAAAAAAAAAACATAAAAACTTCGAAAACGGGGGGGTGGATTTCGAAGACTACCAAAAAGAATTAAATAAATAGAATTTTTTTTTTTTTTCATTGATTGATTGGTTGATTGATTGATTGATTGATTGATTGATTGATTGATTGGTTGATTGATTGATTGATTGATTGATTGTTTGGTGGGGGAGGGGTCCTCCCTCCACTCCACGGCGCACACACCTCTCTCTCTCTCTCTCTCTCGCGCGCGCGCGCGCAGCTCCCGCACACGCCGCGCGCGCACACACACACACACACACACACACGAAAACCCGTTTTCTCGTTTTTTTTTTCTTTTCGATTGATTAATTGATTGATTGATTGATTGATTGATTGATTGATTGCTGGGGGAGGGGTCGCCCCCCCTACCCCCGCCCGATCACACACACACACACACACACACACACACACACACACACACATACTTGCGCAAGGTTTAAAAATCCGTTTCTCGTTTTTTTTTT